AGCCGTTTTTTGGCCCGATTTCGCCAGCATTTGGCGATTTCGCCAGCTTTCAGAAACACTGTCCACAGGCTGGCCTCTGGCACCGCGTGCCACGTCGCCTGCACCGTCACCCCGCAGTACAAGGGTGAGTACCGCTGCCCGCCCTGCTAGCTGCTGCCATGTTGCCCACTGCCTCTACCCACCGCCTCCTGCCCAGGCATGCACGCATGCACCCCTGGCCCCGTCCTCCTCGACAAGCCAGCCCCGCCCCGCCCTCGCTCCTGCAGACGCCTCCATCCCCGTGGCCGAGCTTGTGGCGGCGCACGCGAAGCAGGAGCGCACGGAGAAGATGCAGCAGCCTCTGCTGGCGCTGGGCGCCGCTGCCGCGCTGCTGGCCGCAGCCTCCACCGCCAGGACCGACTCCCATGCCGCTGTTCCTCTGGCGATCTCAGCGGCCATCTCAGCCGGCACCCTGGTGGGTTGGAGCGCCGGCGCCGGCGCCTCACTGGCCTTGTCTGCCATCAGCTGCGGGCCGCGGCATCGCTGTCGTGCGTTTGCAGCAGCACGCGGAGCGTGCATGGGGAGCGAGAGGGGCCCGCGGCGCGGCGCGCGCTCACTCGCCTTGCGCCCGCTCGCCTGCCCGCCCCGCAGGCCTGGACCCTGGTGCTGATGAAGCCCGTGGACAAGGCGATCCTGGAGTCGCCGGTGGCGGTGGTTGCGGGTAGCCCCGGCAAGAAGTGGTCAGCGGGGAGCAGGAGGCGGCAGCCCGCGAGCTGCTGGTCCAGTGGACGGGCCTCAACAAGGTGCGCTCCTGGGCCTCCATCGTCGCCTTTGGCGCCACCGTGTGCGGCGTGCTGCTGGTGAACCGGCCGGCGCACAAGTGAGGCGGCGAGGCACGGGCAGGCGCGGACACCAGGGCTGGCAGGCGGGGGGTGGCGCGAGGTGGGCAGGCGTGGAGACTGGGCCTGGGATGGGCCCGCGTGCTGCCCGTTGGCTGTTGGAACGGCCCTGCATGGTGTCGGCAGTCGCTGCTGCCCGTCAGGGACGTACCTCGTGCATTTCATTGTCGTGATGATGCCTTGACTTTTTTTTTTTAGATTGTCGTTTGTGAACATGGGGCGGGCAGCAGTCGTCCCCAGCTTCCACTGATCCCACCCCATTGGTTGTGCCATTGGCGTGCCGCACTTCCGCTTCACTATCTCCGATTTGCTCCCCATCCGGGTCCACCTTTACACAGGCAGCCCCCAAACCAAGGCACAGCAAGGGAAAGGAATCATGAATCGAAAACTGGGCAATATAAATTGGTTAAGGGATGTACACGACAAAATCTGGGGGCCGAGAAGCAGTAGGAAAGAAAAGTAAGAGAGGAGCTGGTAGCTGGTGTTGAGTTCAGTCGGTCTTGGGCGGTGCCCCGCGGCCCAGGCCCCCCTCTCCAGCCAGCTCCACAAGGGCGGCAAAGCCCAGATCGCTGCCCAGGAACAGCAGCGTGGCGGTGCCCAGCCAGGGCCCCGCCGCGGCGCACAGCAGCGGGTCCAGCGGCAGGCAGAGGGCCATTAGCGACACGCCCAGCGCTGCCAGCAACAGGTGCAGCAGGCGGCGCGGGCGCTGCCGCAGCACGCGCAGCGAGGTGAGCACCGCGGCGGCGGAGGTGGTGCCCAGATACATCGCCTCGGGCACCCAGGGCAGCCGAGCCCACAGGTTGGCCGCGGCGCCGGTCAGCAGCGCCGCCAGGATGGCCCAGCAGCGGCGGGAGGCAGCCGCCGCGCCGGACGGCGAGGCAGGCGGCGGCAGGGCCTGCACCCGCATCGGCAGGCGGGCGGGCAGGCAGGACACGCTTTCCGGTTGGCCTGGGCGATGCGAAAAATGCTGGCTGCGGTGACTGGGAGCGCCGCAGCAGCTGCATTGGGGGGCTCAGGCAGGCACAGCCGACGGGTCGCTCGCCTGGGAGGCGACTAGGCACAGGGAGGAGGTGCCGGTGCAGGCAATGTCGGCAGCTAGCGCTGCGCTCCACAGCGGTGTGCCGCGGCTGGCCAGGGCGTGGCACACGATGGAGCTGTGGGCGGCGCGGCGTGTGGGAGAGGGCGAGCGAGACGATGCGGCGTGGCGTGACGCGCAGCTCTGCCGCTTGCGCCACACGCATGCAAGGCTGCGGTAGCATGGCGCAGCCTACTCCCACTCCCACTCAGCCGGACTCACCTGAGGTTCATCAAGCAAAAGAAGAGCAGGGAGTGGCGCAGGTAAGCATGCGCGGGGGCCCGCAGGCGGCGCAGGCCCCACAGCCCGACCACCGCGCCCGCCAGCTGCACGGGCAGCAGCGACGGGTTGCGAAGCTGAAGCGAGGCGCTGCCAGGGAGCGCCGCCGCCAGCTGCTGCTCCGGGCACTGCCCTGCCAGCCACTCGGGCTGCAGCAGCTGCCAGATGGCGGGGTACTGGTGCTGCAGGCGGTCGTGCGCCGCAGGGAAGAAGTCTCGGAAGAAGGCGGCATCGTCTGGCTGGCTGCGAGCGGGCTGCCCCGGCCGGACCTCGCTTTAGCCGTGTGATGGGCTGTAGCGGGGCCTTGGTGGGCCTGTGAGAAGTGGTCAGGGCAGTGGAGACTGCTGCAGCAGTAACGCCTGCTGGAGCCTCACATACACACCCGCTGATTTTTCTACAAACTGCGTGGTGAAGCAAGAGTGGAGGGCAAGCGATTGATGGTTTGCCCCGCTCCTGTGCTGTGTGCTGTGGCCTCTGGGGCATGTCGCGCATTCTCACTGTTGCATCTCCATCTTGGCTCTTGGTGTCGCAGTGTGGCAAGGCCATAAGACGTAGCCTCGCTAGCAGCACAGACACAAACTTCTGCCCACAAGAGCGAGAATGCCTGGCCTGTTCATCACGGCTGCCTCCTCGATGGAGAGTCAGAGTCCAGGGCTGCTTGCTGCACTGCCTGGGTGAGCGGCTTGCATCCACCGCCGCCACCGCCGCCGCTCCCGACCGCAACCACTGCCGCCGCTCCCGCGCGCCACCACCGCTCTGCATCCTGACAGGCCCTGTCACCCCCAGAAGCTCCGTTTAAACTGCAGGCCCGACCTGGCCCTGGCCGGCGCGTTTGCGGTGGTGTTTGGGGTGCAGCGCCTGGTCCCAACCTTCAAGAAAGGCTGGTACGAGGCGCTGGCCAAGCCCGCCTGGACGCCCCCAAACTGGGTCTTCCCTGCCGGTACGCTGCACCAAGGATGCAGTGCCATGTCGAACAATGCGCTGTCGCAACAGTGCGCCGACCCTCTGAGCGCCCGGTTCCTTCTTCTCCCCTCCCCGCAGTCTGGATCCCGCTCAAGGTCCTGCAGTCGGTGGCGGCGTGGCTGGTGTGGCGCAGCGCGCCCACCACCCAGCAGCTCTACTTGCCACTGGCGCTGTTTGTTGCGCACTTGTTCCTAGGCAGTTGGTGGAACGTGAGCGTTGGCTGTCCCTCCGCCCCCTTGAGATGCGGGGCCAGCACGAACGGCGTTCACAGGCCAGCCTGCATTCTCGGCCTCAACTGCCCTACCCCTGCCCCGTCCACCCCGCTGCAGGTTGTGTTCTTTGGGCGGCACCAGATGCAGCAGAGCGTGAAGTGGATGGCAGCCTTCTGGTGCTCAATCGCCGCCTCCATTGCTGCCTTCTCTCAGGTGCGCTGCCCCTGCTTTCCTTCCTGCCTCTCCTTTCCCCTGCTAAGTTCCCTGCTCTGCTGTTCCTGGGGTTGTCACCTCCAACTCTGCTCTACCACTCCTGATTCTGGAACCGATGGCTGCTGCAGGTGTCGCCCCTCGCCGGCCTCCTGTTTGCTCCCACGCAATTGTGGGTCACCATCGCCGCCAAGCTCAACTGGGACATCGTGAAGCTGAATGCCGCCAAGAAGCCGTGAAGGCCGAGCTGGCCCGTGCCACACGAGGGCCGGTTGCTTGCGCCAGCCGTCGCCACACGCGGGCAGACAGGCGTGCACGGGTCACTGACAGCCAGCGTAGCTAGCGTGGAGCGGCGGCGGAGGCGGCGGCGGCGGCGGCGGCGGTAGCAATAACCCTTGTCAGTTAGCCCGACGGACAGGAGCATTCCTTGCGATCTCGTCAGATCGTGCCAATCCGCGATGCAGCGCTGCAGGGGGTGGTGGCAGGAAGTCCTGGAAATGTGGCAGTGTATGCCCTAAACCGCCCGATTGGTTGCCCCAAGCGGGTTAGTATGTAAGCGGGCTGCAGCAATTGCGAGAGAGGGCATCCGCCAGGGCAACAGCTGTCCACATCGCGATCTGGGCCAGCTGGAGAATTTTTCTTCTGCCCCCCTCGCTCCTTCTTCAAGGCGTCTCGGGCGGGGTTACACACAGTTGTTCGTGTGCCTGCAAGCATATTGGCCAGAGTTGAGCCAACTTCCTGGGCTGGCAGGTTACCAAACACCCCGCCCTACCCTAGTCCGACAGATTGAGCCGTCCTCACTTCGCTTACTGGCGCTCGGCAGCCTTTCAGGTGCGCCTCGTGGCGGGTTACCCAGCGCCGGGAGGAGCAGCAGGCAGAAACCCTGTGTATCGGCGCCACCGCCAGTCGCCGCCGCCGCAAGGCGCTCCCCGCTCGCCGCCGCGTCCCCCTTGCCCTGCGGCTGCCACACAGGCCGGGATGCTGCAGCGCTGCGGCGCCCCTCGTTCAATTCCAATCCTCTTGTCCCCAGACAGCCCATCCACTCAGCCCATCCATTGTCTGGCCGCCTGGCTGCAGGGCCTCCCCTCGACTCGCGGCGCCACCGCTCGTGAGTCGCCATGGTGTCCCCAGACCCGCCCCCGGGCGGGCAGTTCCTGACCGAGGGCGCCCCCGAGGTGGCCGTGGGCTACTCCGAGGTCGACCTGGACGACGGCGGCGGCAAGGGCAAGGCGTTTGACGTGGAGGGCGGCGCCGCGCTGGGCGGCGACTCCCGTACGCGCACCATGCGGCGCCGCATCGACAAGCAGGCCACCATGCTGCCCGCGGAGGAGCTGGAGACGCAGCGCAATGGCACGTGGGTGCAGTGCGTGTTCCACATCATCACCGCCGTCATCGGCTCGGGCGTGCTCTACCTGCCCTTCTTCTTCGCCATCCTGGGCTGGATCGGCGGCATCATCATGCTCCTGGTCTTTGGAGCCATTACCTGGTGCGCCCGGGGCCGCCCGGGGCTGCTGGCTCGGCGCCGCTTGCCTTACCTGCTTGGCCAATTGGTTGTTTTGTGCCCTCCTCCCTGGGGCCACCCACGATCGCAACCCGCTTGCGCCCGGTGTGCCCCACCCACCAACCCACTTCCACCCGGTGTGCCCCACACATGCAGGTACACCTCCCGCCTGCTGGCTGATGCCATGGTGATCGATGGCGTGCGGTACCGTACCTACCAATGTGAGTGACGGCTGCGGGGTCGCCGGCAAGGCCGCCCGCGCGTGCCCCCCGCTCTCCTCGCGCCCTCCCGCCAGAGCGGCACGCCGCTTGCACACCGGCGTGGCGCTGCCCAGCGCTGGCCGCTGTGGTCTGCTTGCCTGCCTCCTGCCAGCCAGCCAGGGCCTGGCATCTCCCTTCTCTTCCTGGCCTGCCTGCCTGCCAGACCCTGGCACCCCCCGTCCCTGCCTGCAGCTGCGGTGGAGGCGGTGTTTGGGAGGCGGGGTGGAATCCTGCTGGCCATCGTGCAGTACCCCAACCTGGTCCTCACTGCCATCGCATGTGAGCCAGCTGCAGCCGCAGCAGGGCGCAGCAGGGCCGTTGTGCGAGGCGCCGGCGGCTACGTGTCCGGCCGCGCCTCAGCCGGGCCGCCGTGGGATGGCAGCGTGGCATGCTGAGCCCTGTGCCGTGGACCCAGCCCTGCCTCGGCAGAACCGCACGGGGCCCCTGGCCCCAGGGAGCCACGGGAATCCCCCTGAGCGCCGCGTCAAACTCACCCGCCCGCTCCCCTTGTTTTCTTGCTTTCTTTCCTCTGCAGACAACATCACCGCCGCCAACAGCATGAAGTATTTTGCCTACACCTACTCCTCGTTTGCAAACAGCTCGCTGTGCACGGAGGTAGACCCTACAACGGGTGCGCCTGCCTGCCTGGCTGTGGCGCCGCACGCAGCCGCGCGCGTTGGGCCCGCAAGCGCGCTCCAGCCCCCGCAGGCCCTGTGGGGCCTCTGCCGCAGCCGTGGGCCTGGCGCGGCCGGCCGGCCAGCGCCCTTGGGCCTAGGCCCCGCCTGCGCTCCGGGCGGGGGCAACACTCTGTTGATCCCTGCGCCCTCGGTGCTGTACTGCAGGCTACTGCATTGACTGCAAGTACTGGGTGTTCACCATCATCTTTGGAGGCTTCCAGCTGTTCATGAGCCAGGTAGGGCTGTTCATGCGCCAACGCTTGGCATGCACTTCCCGCTTTGTGTGCTTCGTTTTTCGTTTGCCTCCGTCTCCTTCCTTTCTCGTTCCTTTCCGACGACCCCGGAAGCGACTCCCTGCTGAGACGGGGGCCCTGCCCTCACCCTGCCACCTGCAGATGCCCAACCTGGACTCCGCCGCCTGGGCCTCCCTCATCGGCATGCTCATGAGCTTCGGCTACTCCTTCCTCTGCCTGGGCATGTCCATTTGGCAGCTGGCCACCTGTGAGCCGCTGCTCCCCCTTCTCTCCCTTCCCTGCGGCTCCCGCCCCCTGCAGCCGGCAGCTCTGGCAAGCGCGGTAGCCCCTTCGTGCCTACCTGCCTGGGACGCTGGTGGCTGGCAGGCATGCCGGGGCCCAGCCTCCTGCCTCCTGCCACCGTGCGTGCGACGCTGTGCGCCTGATGCCGCCCGCCCCTGCCTGCCCCGCCCCTGGTCGCTGTTTCAGATGGCGCGGCCCCCACGCGTGCCACCGGCTACCCCACCAGCCTCATCAGCGATGCCCAGCTGACCTGGGACGTCTTCAACGGTGCGCCAGCCCCTGCACCTCGTCGCCGGCTGTCGGCTCCCCGCCTGCTCTCCTCCTTGCGGCCTGCTCTGCATCGTCTTTGTTGCTGCCGAGCCAAGCAGCCCAGGGCTTCCCTGCCGCCGCAGTCAGTCGGTGCCTGTAACCGCCGTGCCCTGTGGGGACCATCCCCACTTCCCACTTCCCTGCCTCCTGTCTTGCGCTGTGCAGCCTTTGGCGGCATCGTGTTTGCCTTCTCCTTCAGGTCAGTGGGGCCCCTGCCCTGCCCTGCCCTGCCTGCCCTGCCTTGTGCCCCTGCTTCTGCACCGCCAGCCTGCCTATCCGCGCTGGGCCCATGGCCGCGCCTCGCCCTGTCCCCAAAGCGCTGCACCCACCTGCCTGCCTGCCCCCTGCCCTCCTCTTTCCGTCCCTCCCATGCCCGCAGCTTCATCCTGATCGAGATCTCCGACACACTGAAGGACGGCGGCAAGGGCCCCGTGTGGCACATGAAGCGCGGCGTCTGGGTGGGTGCAGCGCTCCCCTCGCCCCATCACACCGCATCGCGCCGCGTCGCGCCGCGCATTCCCCGCCCGACCCCGGCACCTTTCCCTCCCTTGGCATCGGCAGCGCTCCGTTCCTTCCTTGTCTCCGGAAGCTGCCTCTGAAGCATTCCTTTTTGTTTTCTTCGCAGGTGGGCGTCGTCATCATCACCACTTTCTACTTCTTCGTCTCGGTGCTCGGCTACGCCGCCTACGGATGGGAGGCGCTATACAGTGAGCGGCGGCAGCGGGGGGTCAATGCGGTGTGCGGCATGCAGGGGTGGGGACGGCGCGCGGGCGCGCGGCGCGCGCCACACTGCAGCCCGCAAACACCAGCCGGGGTCTCGACCCGATTGACGCACCGGGACAGCTGCCCTGCCCCTCCACGCCACGCCGAAACCCACGCCCCGGATGTGCCCCACACTGCCCGCATGCTGCACCCGCAGAAAACCCGTACGTCATCTCCTTCTTGTCCCTGTCCAACAACGTCTGGCCCAGCAACAACGTGCGCTGTGGCCTGCGCGTGCCTGCATGTGCACGCCTGCATGCGAGCGCATGAGGTGGCGGTGTGGCGGGCGCCCCTCACACGCCTGTGCCGCCCCTGCGGGCTGCTGGGAAGCCGAGGCTGCAGGCGTGGCCCGCAGCTTGCCACCACCACCACCACGCCGGGCTGCATGCACTGCGCTGGCCCGACGCGTGGCTGTGCCTCCTGCCCTCCCCGCCCTCCCCGCGCTATTCAGGCCACCACTAATGTGTCTCGCGCCGCCAACCTGATGGTGCTGATCCACATGGTGCCAGCCTACCAGGTGAGAGATGAGGCCCTGCCCCCCTGGGCATGGCACCGCTGGCCATGGCACCGCCGAGCCGGCCCTGCTGGCCGCCGCCGGGCGACGGCGCAAGCAGGAGCACACGCGCCCAGCCGGGCCCAGCCAGTGCGCGGGCCCAGCCCTGTCGGCCGCCCGGCCGTCGCGGCGTGCTGCGGTGGGCGCGCAAGCTGCAGCAGGCCCCGCGCCCCACGCCCCTCCTCCCGCGCCTCGGGCCCACTCTTGCGCCGCTGCGTGCCGCTAATCTTCTCTGCCCGTCGCCTGGCACCACTGCCTCCCCGCCGTGAGCAGGTCTTCTCCCAGCCGGTCTTTGCCGCCGTGGAGCGCCAGCTGCGCCACAAGAACTCCTCCATCCTGGCCAAGACTGGCCGCGTCGGCTTCCGCATCGCCTTCCGCTCCCTGTGTGAGCGCCACGCGCCGCCGCCGCCGACGCTGCCCGCTGGCCGCGGCACGGCGCGTTTGCCGGGGCGCTGCATGCAGCTTGGCCGCCTGGGCAGCCATGCGTCGCGTGGGCAGCCAGCTTGCAGGGCCGCCTGCCCGGCTTCCTTGCTCTCCTGTGCATGAGCACGTGTATGAGACGAGGCCGGCTCCCTTGGTGCTCCCCCGTCTTTCGTTCTGCAGATGTGGTGGTGGTGTGCTTTGTGGCTATCGCTCTGCCCTTCTTCTCGGACTTTGTGGGGTGAGCTTGCCTGGACCTGTCGCTGCCGCCTGGCCGCCCCTTTGTTTGTTCTTGAACCTGGCATCTCTGCCTCGCCCTGGCTCCCTAGACCCATCTCTTGGCGTAGCCCGGCCAGAGGCGCCCATGGCTGCTGGCTTACACAGCGTCGCCGGTCGCGCCTGCCCCTCGTTGCCCCTCTCAGGCTGATTGGCGCGCTTGGCTTCTGGCCGGCCACCGTGCTGTTCCCGATTGAGATGTACCGCAAGATTCACAAGCCCAGCATGTGAGTGGTCCACCATGCGCCATGGCACCGCCGATACTGCCGCGCCCTGCTCAAGCGCTGCCCCAGCCTGGCGAGCCTCAACCCCCCATCCCCGCTGCTGCCGCTGCAGGAAGATGACCATCTGGCTGGAGACGCTCAACGTGTTCTGTGCCATCATCACGGTGAGCGGGCACCCCGGCCAAGCCAGCTGATTATCATGCCTGTCTGTGCTGTCTGTTCGCATGCGCACCAGAACCACCACCCCCAGGCTTGCGCCTTAGGCCTCCTCCTTATAACCTGCCCTCGTGGCTTCCCCGCCGCCTGATGCCCTCCTCCCGTGCAGATCTGCGCTGTCATGGGCTCGGTTCAGGTGGGCGCCGCTGCCAGCGGCCGTGTCCCTGTGCCGGGCTGGCTGTTGCTGGGCTTGCCCCTGTGCCCTCTCTGTTGCTTCTTCCTCGCCTGCTGCGAGCGCAGCGCCCCCATCCCCAGCCCTTTGTCTCGCCCCCCTTTGCTGCAGCTTATCGTCATGGATGCCGCTGATTACACCACACCCTTTGGCTAGTCCCCCAGGGGCAGGCCAGCCGGAGGGAAGCTCCAGCTTGCCTCCCTGCCCGCATCCCACGGCTCCTTGGGCTGCCAGGCACATGGTTCCAGCGCCTGCCCGGCTCCACATGCCCTTTATTCAACCCATCCTGTCTTCAAACTCAATTGCTCTCGCACAAATGCGGGGCATGAAACTCCCTTCCTCATATGCATAACCAAAACATCGTTCCCATATCTATTGACATGAATGTCTCGCTGCACATGCGTGCCGGCGTTGCAGTGCCTCATTCCGTTCTTCCATTCGCCAACCCAGACCCTGTGCCACTAAGTCAGTCAACTTTCTCTAGTTGGCTGGTGGCCTCTGGGCATTTCCCATCCGCAATGCATCTGCACTCAACAATTCACCGTTGCTGTTGTTTCTGGGGCGCCAACCCTGGCTGTTGGCTCAGTAGACTTATTGATGGCTCCCATCATGCGTATTCCTCTCCACCCACCCACTTGATGCCGGGTGGCGTCCTGTAACTTATGAACCGTGCGGCTCCGGTAGCTGCTGCGCCGCTCCCAGGCCTGCCTGCATCTGGAGGGAGGACAGGCAAGGGAAGCGCAGCAGCGTGGCCTCTAAGTCACGCAGCGAAGCCATATATGTCACGCGCAGCACGGGAGCCGGGCGGAGCAACTGCTGGCCCTGGATGAGAGAGCGGAGAGGGCGGCGGCGGCATTTTGGGCTGCCGCCTTGCTGGCGGCGGGTGGCATGTACGCTTCTTGCGATGCCTGACGGCGTCCATTGCTTCTGTTGCTGCATTCTGCTGCGGCAGGTCCTGCAGGCCTTCCAACGATATCTGCAGTCAACTTGGTTTGCAGGGGCGAGTGTTCGGCGTGGCTGGGCAGTGGATAGCAGGCCACCATGGCCACGGCCATGGCACAGGGGCCTGCAGAAGCGGCCACGCCTGACCCCGACGCCCTGCGGCTCAGCAGCGAGGAGGCCGTGGCGGAGGACGGCGCCCTGCCTCTGAACCTCGACATCACCACCGAGCAGCTGTCGCTGGCGGGCATAGAGAAGGAGATTGAGGCGTTCGCCGACTCCGAGGTGCTGCGGGCCATCCTGGACCAAGGTGCGGTCGGGCGGCAGGCGGCAGGGGCGGTGCGGTCGTGGCAACAGCATGCAGTGCTGCATTCTCTTCACATGGCATGGATCAAGCTGTGCTGGTGTGCTGTGGCATGCGGCCACAATCATCGACCAGCAGGCGGGAGCAGCAGGCAATCCGGCAGCAGCGTCACAGGCCACCGCACGGCGGCACACCGCGACCATGCGTGCACCTGCCCGCTGAGCCTGCATGTTGAATGCCCGCTGGCCCCTGGGCGTGCCCACCACCCACCCCTGCAGGCGTGGACC